ACAAAAAATAAGAGGAAAAAAATGAAATATATAAATTAATATTTCGTTCAACGCGCAGTACGATGCTTTCTAATACATAAGGATTGAACGATTGCATGGCGACTTATAATCAGGATGTTACGAAAAGATTGAACGTAGATATCATGCAATCTACCATAAAGTAATTTTTAATTTTTTCGTTTGGCGACGAATAATAATAATAATAATAAAATTTGAAAAAATTCTATTATAAATTTATATTTTTTTCATACATACAGGTACATTGTTGTGGAAGCAAAGGCTATACTGATTCTTTGTCCGTGAATCCATCCAATATTTCTACATCATTGTTGTTTTGAATCAGTGAATTGTAATACTTCTGATCATAATGACATATATACCGAGATATTATTAAGGAAAGTAAGTAAAATATATATTTAGTAAAATAATATAGAAATATCTTGGAATGTTAATATTTCATATTGTTTTCTTTTTTAATTACAGGCTTCTTTAGAAACTTGTATTAAGTAACATTATTATCGGATATATCGGATTCGTGGCTAGTACTGTAATTGGAGTTTCATTCTTTCCAGTAATTGTATTTTCTGCACGTTGATTGGTTAATATCATTAATAACGTGAAGTACGAATGGGTTCGTTCGATCAAGAAAGTTTATTCGTTATATCGATTCTCCAATGGCTGATTCTGTACTGTCATTTACTAGTAATTTTATTCTTGTTTACATTTGTCAATATTATTGAAGTATATAAGGGTAGAGAATAGCATTATTAAATAATAATAATGTTTCTTGTCCACAAGTTATTACCAGATTTAGAAGAAAATAATGATTTCTATCGAATGATGGAAGAACCAGAACTGTATTTTATTCCATTAAACATTTTCAAATCCATCGAAGAAGATTAGTTTTTATTTGAAATTGTATATCTTACGTATCTATACGTATATTTTATTAAGTTCTTTTTATTATAGAAGTAAAAGTTGCTTCTGTGAGAGAATTAATAATGCTTCGTGATTCCGAGAAACTGAAGGAGATTATGTTAGAAATAAAAAAATAAAATGGATTATTTAGGATATCGACGTATGTCACAGGCACTGTTGAATCTGATTCGGAATATCAACTGATTGTTGAAGCAGTTGATATAGACAATGAAATATGTAATTCGTTTCTTTAAATATATAGTGTTTGCAAGTTGATTATACTAATAAGTTTCCTTATTTATACTTTTACTTTTAAAGCTAGGACATATCGATTCATAAAAGACAAACACTCGGTAACATTTTCAGAACTCAAATAACAGAACTTTTGGAATATGTTATTACTGTACGAGAACTTAAAATGATTTTGATAAAACAAAATATAACGAAACTCCACAACAATTTCTTAGGTGAGCTGCTATAATCACAAATTAATAAGTTCTTTCTGATTCTACGAATCAAAGGTAAATAATTATACTGTATATACTATATTATTGTAGATACTGTAATTTACAATATATACTAAATAATTATATTCTATATACTGTAGAAACATATGCTCAAATTCTTCTAGTTCAAATCGTATTTTTGTTATTATATTTTGTTACAGACAGTTATTAAATGAAGAAAAAAGGGAAGTCATCTGTGGCATGGCATTAAAATAATTAAATTAATGTAAATCTAAGATATTTGAATATGAGCAAAGTAGAAAGGCTTTTATAGCACCATATCTTTCTGTAATAGTTGGAGCATTTACAGAAATTGTGAGTATATTTATCCGAATTTATTTCAATTTTAAACGTTACATTAATTTTTGAAAATCTAATTTATCTACATTACTTATTAGATATTGCTGATGGTTAATAGTTGTCCAAAGTGCCAACTTGCAAAGTATTAATCTTAGGATCTCGGAGAACAGTGCTCTCTGATTTTTTGTGTATATGACAAGTCTACCCCACACAAAATTTGTATATTTTTCTGAAATCGTTCAAGAAACACCACCTGTGAGCCTATAGAAAATGATTACAATCAAATACTTGTGCGACAATAGTGTAATATATTTTCACAATTAAACTATTTCACTAATAAATTTCATGTGGATGTTTGTCACGAAAATTCGAAACGCCATATTGGACAACTATTCCGTGAAAAGAAGTTAAATGAACTACAAGAACCACCACAAATAAAATTTATAAAATCTGTATCAAAACAAATCGATCCAAGTAGAAAGAAACGTGGTGGCAAATGCGATCGATAAATGGAACACGCAAATAGGATGAATTTTGCAGATATTGAAAACGACGATTATGAAGAAGACTTTGGATATTCAAGAGGAACAATTTGAAAAGCAGTAACAGGACGTATCAGATTACTACAAATTGATGGAAAAACAAAAGTTCAAATTACAGAGAAAGATATTGGTGGAAGTACAATTTTTAATTAATTAGTTTCAGGAATGGCTTCAATCGTAGCGTTTATATCATTGTAGATAAGTTTCTTATTTTTTTATTTTTTATTGATTTGGATTGAAATAGAATATTCTTAAACTTGATGGTATTAGAGTTGATATAAATTACATGGTCAAAAAGCGGAGGGCGTTGGTAGCCACGATACTCACTATTCGTTTTGGATTTCCTTATCTTGTGTTGCCCTATAAAAACGTTCCTTTGTTAGATCGATCGATAATAATTGAGTATGATGTTACGTCATCCTTTCGTTATTCTATTTCTTTTACTTAAATTTTTAATTTTAATGAGTTAAAATATTGTTCTTTTATTATTATTCATAATAAAATCAATTTGGATCTTTGTTTTCCATAAGAAGAAAATAGAAAAAAATAAATAAAAATTTCTCGTAGTATCGATTTTTATATCATAATTCTCTCTGATTTCTCTCGCATAGAAATGAAGAAACTAAAGTAGTTGATAAAATTTATCAACTTAAAATGCGATTCGAATGTTGTACACATTTATACTATATTCAACTAGTCGAAATTTGTGTCATGTCACAAGAATATTAGCTTAATAAAGCACTCGTAGGAGCGTTTAATGAAACCTTGCGCGATTAGGGATTAGTGCACTCATATTCGTTCTTTTTACGTATAGTAGTATATCGTATGAGTTACGATCACTGAGAAATGATTTTATACTGACTGGAAAAATCGAAGATTTAATATAATTCTTCCTAATATAATCAAATTCAAGTTATAGGATAATTAAAATCGTACTGTGATAACTTCTTGAATCTTTCAAGAATTCTTTTTGAATTTTTATTCGCCTGCGGCTTAAGACTTTTCATTGCAGGCACGTTCATTTTATTCTTCCAATCAATGAGATAAAAAAGAGAAAGCAACCAATCGCCGATAGGGATTAGAATTATTTATTTTTCTTTTTTCTTTCGAATCGTTATTCGTCTAATTCTTCTATCGTTAACTGTATATCATTGGAAAATTACGTACGCAGTAAACGATCATGAATATCACAAATTAATTATATTTTAACTTTTATTTTTACTAAATACATAATTATAACTAAGTGTATAAATTGTTCATTTTTTTATAAAATTTAAATATATTGCACAGATCACGTTTAGTATTTTTTTAATTGATCCTCATTATAAAAGTTCTTTTATTTTTATTTATAATCCACGGTAAGACATAAAAAATCGATAAAAGATTCAACAATTACAATATTGTTTTCCATCCTTCTGAATTTTGTCTAATTATGAGACATAATGTGAGTAAATTAATATGAAGCAATGTTTATACAGTGAGTGAAAAAAATATTCGGATACCATGATATACTTGAATAAATCGGTGTATATTTCAATTGTTCATGAATAAAAAAAATGTTTTTTTCCTTGTTATGTATCACTTATTGTGATTAACAGAAATATACAGTTTAATATATCTGTGTTTTGCCATTTAACTGTCTACGTTAAAACGTGAGTTAAATCAACTTCAACAAGCAGAAGCAATTTTAATAGCAGAAGGTTATAGCAGCTCAAATTCTAGCTAGATGTGGTAGAAAGGGAATGTCAAAATTTGTCTAAGAATTATAAGTAGACTAAACAATTGGCCGTAGACGTGATATCATCGAAATGAAAATTGAATAAGTTAGTTAGCAGATTACAAAAGGAAATGATGGTTATCACAAGAGAAAGACAATTGTAGACATACAAAAGACGTACAAAATTGGATTTGTATGAAAAAAAATGAGCGACGATAGTAGCAATGCCATGTTTGAAAGAGTTTCTGGATTTTAATGTACTATCGAAGAATACAGATATTCGAGATTCTTCTATCGATGCATACAACGGCAATGCAATAGGAGTAAATAAAATAATGATTAATGTTATGATTAATTAGAGATTTGATTGCCAAGTTAGAAACGGATCTGGAATCTGCAGAAGGTAATAATCAAAAGGAGGAATGCAACAAGAGATCGAAAGGTTAAAAGGAGAAATAAAACATCGAGCTTTGAAAGGTGACTTTAACAGTAATCCTAGAATATTATACTTTATCGTGAATCTTGGTGCAATACCGGAACAGCAGAGGAAAAACAAAAAACCTTATTACATGAGCTTGAAGAACTGAAAGTTAAAGTCGCTGTAGGCGCTGCAGGAACGGTAGCATTTTAGTTACAAATATAGAATCATTAATATATTATCAATTACTGCATATAGGTATACTATTAAATGTATACGTATCATTTAATTTCATTGTAAATGCTGTGATATTTAGAAATTGTTGAACTTAAGCAAATTAATGACATAAAGATCGCGAGTCTCAAAGAAGCCTTTAAAGCGTTTTCTCAACAATACAGGGAGGCGTGTTTATTGATTATTTAGTTGCAGATTCGACGGGACTCAAGAGGGACATTACAAATTGTCCAGTCAATACTCCGAATCGTCAGATAACTTTCTCTTCTTCCCGTTGGAGAGGAAGGCATTGATCGGAACTCTTTTCTCAGCAAACAATGATAAAAATCATGAATTAATTTTATTTATATCATAATCTTAATTTACTATTCATATTTTTTTTGATCGAGAATAGGAGAGCTATCTGAGTCATTGCCTAACGTCTCGCAAGATATCTGATTTCGATTACTCAATTCTAGACAGTCATAATATGTTTCTTCTTCGAGAGTATCTAATGGTATTGAGGATTCATCACCTGTTTCTTTCTCTAGTCTAGATCATTGATCACTTATATCAATCAATTCGTCTGAATAAATATTCTAGATCTATAGCATTCGAACGACTACAGTACAACGATTCGCTGGAAGAACTTTCATTTGATTTACGAATGGGTAGCATCTGCGTTGCTACTGGTTTCTTGATAATGCATCGACATTTGCGTCACCGCTTTATACTCTATTTTACAATTATATTCTGCTAATTTTAATTCAGTTAATTTTAACGTAGGAGTTTTGATAGAATTTAACCAGATCAATGCCTTATGGCCTGTGGCTAACGTAAATTCTCGACTGTATAAATAAGGAAATAATATATCACACAAACTATCGTTCATAATTCTCGTTGGATCATCAAATAATATTTCTCTGCTCTGCTTAATAATATCGAACAATACGAAATTAGGTCTTTGACGTGAAACTACTTCTATGGCATAACCTAACAGATCCGTAATCACATTATATTTTCGATTGAAGTCAGGGCATTGCAAAACTGGTTCTCTACATAGCGCATCCCGGAGAGTAACAAATGCGTTATCGTATGATTTGTTCCAAATGAATATTGATACTTTCTTTAATACATCAGTCAACGGTTTCGTTATTTTCGATAAAGCTGGACTGAATCTATGGTAATATCCAGAAAAGTCTAAAAATTGAGGAATATTTTAAATATTTCGCGGACGCGGGAATTTTCTGACTGCTTCAAGCCTCTTTGGATCCGACTTAACTCTACCTGCTTCAATGATATGGCCTAAATATACGAGTTTCCTTCTTAGAAACTCGTATTTATCTGGTTGCTGCTGTTAGTCGTTTGATTAATTCGTTAAATATAATGTCATGTTTAATAGCTTTCTTTTCTGTACAAGTGCTCGATTTCCCTAGAAACCTCGAGCAAGGAGATAGGGTTTGAAGAACGAAAAGCAGGGCAGTTTCCGGAACTTCCTCTCGTATCTTGAAGATACAGGAGAAGGCCACGTGGTTTCGTACTGTTACGTCTCACTCAGTACGGACTTCAAAAAAAATATAAATTATGGACTTACCTGAGGAGCTCCTACTTTCGTGAGATTCGTGTCCACTTTGGCCAACCTGCTATGCACAGTTCGTGGCACGGGACGGACACTAATACGAACTGTCTCCCATTGAAACGATCACTTCAGTAGAGCTGAAAGGTGATAGACAATGAGGAAATACTCGGGTACCTATCGCCCGGGGATCGGACGGTGCTAAGTCACTCGAGTTGCTGGTTTTCTCTTTTATCGTGATGGGTACGAAACGATACGGAACTGCCTCGCGTGTGCTAGTGATCTCCGTTGGAATGATTCCTAAATCCGAGTAATGGCGAAGCGGATGGTAAAACGACGCGAGTATCCGTCGAAAATGATACTTCCTACCACCACGTCGTGTTCACGGCATAAAGGAAGTAATGATTTAGGAATAATAACTCGCACGATTCGTACGCATCTCTAGTTATTATTTAATAGATGGTTACTATAACTCGTGCGATTCTTACGCTTTCTCTAGTAAATAATAACCAAGGTAAAGGTTTCACGTTTATAGAATGGTAGCCTTATAGGCTACAATGTCTATTGCGTAGTAGTAAGATCTTGAGATTACCGAGAGAATTTAATGAATTTAAGTTAGAATTACGCTAGGTTGCCTGGGAAGCATAGCCGGGGTTATATGAACAAACACCGATTTAAACTTAACAAAACTAATTTATTAATAGTTGCCAAGTAACACTGTACAATCGTTTAAAGTATTAGAGAACGAAATTCGTATAAGAAGGAAACGTAGCGTATAGTAGCCACGTAGTGTATCCGACGAACGATGAAAAATAACCGAAGTGAAGTGTTCGAACGACAGAGCCCACTTTGATGTTGTAATCTGCAACACATTCTGGTTTTAACTTGGGCGATCCTGTAAGATAATTTCTTTGATCAGATTCTATCATTTTCGGTTTGTGAGCACTTGATAACATCCATACATCTTTTCTATCGCGCCACTTCAATGCCAATAAATTATCTGTACATCTGTAGTCAAATTGCCCTTTTGTCAATTTTCCTTCGATATGAGGCATATCTCTTCTGTTTTTCCGTATTGTCCCAGATGCATTAGTTTTACGTTTATGAAGTACATTATACAAATGTGGGCTTGTGTACTAATTATCTGTTATCAATGTATGGCCCTTTTCAAGGTATAGATGTAAAAGTGTCATAACAACATCTGCCGATTGCCCAATGGTTGTAGAATTACGTACAATATCTGTATTTTTCTGGTATATACTATATAATCTAATACATAGTTTGTTGTGCAGTCGCACATGATAAATGATTTGGTACTAAATCTACTTCTTTTGGACGGAATAAATTGTTTAAAGTAACACCGGTCTTTGTATGACATAAGACTTTCGTTAATGCACAAATCTTTGTACGGATAAAATGACTGTGAGAAAGAGTTCTTCAGAGTATCAATTATAGGTCGTATTTTTATCAATGGATTATCACTTTGTACATTACTGTAGGACCGCAAGGAAGAGCGATATTTCCGCATTAACTCAAGGCGTGCCTGATCATTTTTTTCCCGTTGGAACGCGCGTCTTAATCGACCTACCGCTTTTTTCTGGTTTGTTAACGCTAATGACCACCATGGATTTGACTTCCGGTGAGCCTTTTTGCGAGGCATAGATTCGGAGCATGCTACTTGGAGAACACTTGTGAGCACTTTGGCTCGTGTCTCCACTTCTGAAGCCGATCCTAAACTGCTTCTCTCTAGCTTTGCTGCGGCGAGGGAGAACGTGCGCTCGGAGAACAAGTCCCAGTCGGCTCTCCTTGTGTTGAACCTTCTATTCCTCGTGTCCCGAACACCGCCACCCCGACTCATCACAGTCTTTGGGGGATGTATCGCGATATCTATAGAGTTATGATCACTGGACGTCCAGTCTGTTCTAACCTTCCAATGGCCAATAAGTCGGCTCATGGATGATGACGAGAGGGTTACGTCGATGAATGAAGAACCTTTCCTCGCCCAGAAGGTGGGTGACTGCTCTACGTTATTTAAGACTTCCAACACAGATGCCCGGATGAGGGCTTCCAATTTCGAGCCTCTTTCGTCTGTGCCCTGAGGACCCCAGAGAGATGATCGCGCGTTGGCGTCCAGTGATACGATTAATCTCTTCCCTCTTAGAGCACGAAGTACGGATTCCAAGTGGCTGAGGTGCTCCTCTATGTCGTTGCTGTACTGAAAGTAGTGCGAGACGACGTAGAAGGAGGAGCCGGATGCTTGCACTTCTGCACAGACGCAATGCGGAGTGCTAAGCTGCGAGATGAACAATAACTCGATATTTGGGTTGGTCGCCGCAACCGCCGACCAAGGTCTTTTCTCGCGGATGGCCGCAACTCTCATTCCGTTACCTAGACCTATTATCTCAAAACCTAGCCCTTGTTTTTGGACGTACGGCTCTTGCAAAAGTAGTATGTCCAAGTGCTTCTGACTGATTAGTTCGCGAACTTCATCCATTACCGTTCTAGAGCGTCCCATATTTAGTTGCAGTAAACGGATTTTTGAAAACGCAGAAATTACGGGACGGGCAGGGCTCTTGGTCGAGATCGTTTCGTTACCGTTGCTAGTTACGCAGGGTTCAACGAAGGAAACCCGCAGTGCTTCGTGCTGTTGAACCACGTTTATCGCGTCGGTGGTTATAAGCGGTGCACATGAATTGGCCACTTCAAGAATTCCCGATTGAGTGTGGTTTATTTCGAAGCATATTTCCGGTGATTGCCGAGGAGTTTCTACGCAGTTTCGCTCGATGATCGGAAGTAAGGAGGTCTTGTCATGCGCTCCGTGTGCACTGTTATCGCAGGAGTTGTGATTATCTTTGAGGATTGGGGCAGGTGTGCGTTCCTTTCCAAGGAAGTTTTGCAAAGGGTGCATGCGGGTGTATGCTCGGGTTCGTGGTGGCGAGCTTATCAATTCGTAACCTAGGTTTTGTTTAATCCGTTTCCTATCTGAATTGGAAGGACTTATTGCGCCAGCTCTGACGCTGCGTTTCCCTAATGTAATCGCGGTCGGTTTAGTGTTCGCAGTTTTCCTTTGCGCGGCCTTAGAAGATAGTTTTGGCAAACTCCTATCGCACCTTTCCAAAACGACTACAGCCATATGAAGACTGGCTACCATCTGATGCAGTCCGGATTGTGCGGGGCTAGAAACGCAGCTGGGAGTCGCCTGGTGAGTGGCCTCATATGACGAGCGCGCACACACCCGGCATGTTGATGCGTTCCTACGATGCCCTACACCGCAAGAGCCTCTACTCGTCACCTTTGGGATCGCGCTAGATGTGTTCAACATAGCAATGCGCGAGCTTCTCTTCATCACGCTGACTACCCCTGGGAAAGCCTCCTCCCGGAGATCCGAACGGGAGGCTAGTTTACCTCCGGAATATTTTTCCCCACGAGCAACCATCATGGAATTTAATGGGCAATTTCTTTATTAAACCTAAGGAAAAAAGCTGCCAGAAGAAAACTTTAAGCTGAAAGAGAAATGGCTGAAAGAAAAAATTCAATGAGTAAAAAAAGAGGAAAATAAGAATCGTAAATAAAACAGAGAAATAGGACAAAAGGAATGGAATAAGAAAATGAAACGAAGGAAGATAATGCAAAAGAAATAAAACGGAAGAAATAAAACAAGGAAATGAGACGAAAGGAGTGAAACAAGGAGATAAAATGAAGAAATATAGCGAGAGGAATAAAGCAAAAGAAATAAGTGAAGGAAGCACAACAAAAGAAACATAAGGAATTTATTTGAAGAAATAGATGAATGAAATAAAGCGAAGGAATAGGACAAAGGAATAAAACGAAGGGAGTAATGGGAGAAAAATAAAAGAGATGGAGTTAAGCAAAAGAAATAAAGCGAAAGATATAAAGCAAAGGAATAGGACAAAGGAATAAAACGAAGGAAGTAATGGGAGAAAAATAAAAGAGATGGAATTAAACAAAAGAAATAAAGCGGAAGATATAAAGCGAAGGAATAGGACAAAGAAATAAAACAATCGACCTAGAAATTATCAGGCTGTACCACGTCAACATAATAGAAAAACGTATGTGGACGTTAATCTAACTAACATCCTGAGCGCGCTACGAAGATTTCGAAAATCGAGGAGTACTAATAATCTCCGTCGGTTATTTGGGCCAAAATTCACAGGAATAATGGCTGTTTGATGCCCGACGGTAATAGATAGGTACAGTAAAGTGTGAAGATGAACATTTGTAGGGTACCTCCACCTGTGCTACCTCGCCTATTTCAGGCATACGCTACGCTATATCATCCTTTTATCCCATCTTGCGTTCGATGGTACTTCGTACCTGATGATGGCTATTGCTACTCCTGAATGAGAAAACATGCTTCCGGTGCAACGCCAGAAAAAATCCCAAGCACCCGGAGGACGAACCGAGAGGACGCTTTCGCCATGCACTCGCCACTTTCGCCACGCACGGTACATGTCCTCGGGGAACCACGTGGAGGCACGCCTCATCGCGCGGATTAGCGGATTGGCCCGGCTGTAACACGTCAGTATAATAGAAAAATGCGCCTGGACGTTAATCTAAATCACATACTGATCGAGCTTCGAAGATCTCAAAATTCGAGGAGTTCGAATAATCTCCATCGGCAATGAAAGTCAAAATTCACAGCAATAGTAGCTGCTCCATGCCCCTTTCTAGCACTAGACGACTATCCACCCATGTTCGACTGTGCCAGAGGAGCTGGCACGACGGAAAGTAGATAGGAAGAGAAATAATCTCGTTAATCCATTCATGCGCGTCACTAATTAGATGACGAAGCATTTGGCTTTTTTTTTAAGTAGGAGGAAAAAAATGCTTTTATGCACTACAGCCATACTGTTGCTGCTTGTGTGGGACTCATAACGATGTGAAATACCTACTAAAAAAAACCACTCCTCTACTTCCTTATGCTTAATTCGTAGGCAGCACGATGTTGCATGATCTCCTAACCTACTCCGGTGCGTTCCTTTAGTCTTCTTGGATTAGCTGTTGATGTCGCCCGACCTAAGTTCCAGAACCCAGATGAACCCCCGACCGGAATTCTGGTTGGGATAATCATGAGTTCGCTATGGTTAATAATGTTTTGATTTACTAGGTATTGGGCAGATGTTTTACTCCAAATACCTCTGTATGGAAACGTTATATTTCTATATTTTACATCTCTCACGCCGTATTTTCTCTGGACGAACTCCGTCAACGCTTTATATTACTCAATCTTGGTGTTATGCGCAATATTGAGGCCAATGTTCGCACCCACGATTTGCGCATCGATCACCAAGGCACTGTTATCCTTGACCGCTATAAGGTCCGGCTTCCTGAGGCCCTACTCTATCGTAAAATGAGGTTCCTCCTTCACGATTCCACCCGTCTTTTCGAGCGTCCTTTTCACGTAGGATACGACCATGTTGTGTCGATCCATACGCGCTTTGTGGGTTCGATAGTATTTATACAGGTCATTATTCATCGTCTCTATCGTCCTGCATCCTGCCCGATATGTGCTGTCATAAATCGTGCCTCTTGTTGTTCTGGATTTAATTGGCAGTGGATTTATTCTAAATTTGTTTGCATTGACGAAGTCCCGCACTGATAGTAACCGAGGGCCGACCATTATCTATTAATGTTGCTGGGGGATTTCTCTCGATTCTCTTAAGCCGCCGTTATCCATAGAGCCATGAAAAGCTTTGGCCATCTGTGTAGTGGCATTAGCTATCACATAGAAGGAACTTATAGTCCTCCATCTTTAACGTTGGCATGGAAGTAAGAGGTGATTGTATTGTGAGGTAGATCGAGCCATTTCCTAACTGATGCCCTTACAATGTTGTCGATCTTCTTTAAGCGTCTAAGGGAGATGTTACCCAGTGTGAAAAGATGATATAATTCTGGTAGGACCATCACTCTCAGCGCGAAGAGCCTCTGTTGCGGCTTTAATGGCGCTTTATCCATTTTCCGGAGGGAGCATTAAAGGAGCTCGATTTCCTGTCCCTTTCATCTTCCTTCTGGCGAATTGAATATTTGAACGAATCGTGTGTTTTGATCGAATAGAGCATTTTGGTCAAAACGTGCATTTTGGGCGAATCATGTTTTTCGAAACAATCATGCACTTTGGCGAATCGTGCATTTTGGTCGGATCGAGCATTTAGTACGAATCGCAATTTTCGAACAATTTGTGCACGCCGATATATATGTTCCCTTATATATACCGATTTTTGCGACGTGCGAAGTGGTCGGCGACGCTGGACGACATACACGCGGTCTTATGTGGAAAAAACTGCTAAATAAATCGACCAATTTAAAAAACATTGTCTATTGAGCTTTTATACGCTTCTAGATATTTCTTCACGTTTTATCACGCTTCTATTAACAAAAGTCGTATAAAAAAATGCAAATTTTAAATAATATTGCGAATTAAAAATATATTACGCATAAACCATTTGTTTTAGAAATCGATTTTTTAAATAAATCAAAAGGTGATTACGTATCTAATTAAGTAATCCTATGTTATAACATTGTCGTTTTTACCAACCTTAATTAACAAATGGATAAAAAAGTCAGATTTGTAGATATTTCGAAACAAATCGTTGAATGGTCTTTATTTAACGTTCCTTCGTCGATACGACACGCGTTTATTTTTAGGAATTTATTAATTTGCAAAAACAATTGTTATTAACAATTCATCGACGAAAACGATATTTTCGCTCTCTCGATCGATAAATCAAAATGATTCTAAGAATAATTCCTTTATTGGATTCGACAAAGAACTGATCTTAATTCGTAGGTAATACTGTCCGAAAATAATCGTTAACAACACTTTGATCTTCCTTAAGATCGTTGTAAACTCGTAAGAACTTTACGTAAAAATTAACCAAAAACTTCCTAAGTCTTTTCCCTAAGACTTGTGATTTTAAGATTATTATTTTCATTAGAAACTGAGATTTTTCTCTAACACTTTAGTTTTAGACCAGAAGCCTTAATTTTCAGTGTTCACAATAAAAACTTATTCTGTATGCTTTCTGAAAACGACTTGTTCCGAACGCTCGCTGAAATTCGACTGTGCCATTAATCGCTACCCTCCTACTCATTCGATTATTGAAAAACAGCTTTACGCATGCGCGCCGCTTACTCGAGCCGCCTTTTCGTATAGGCGTTGGTCCAAAACAAAGTGTGGTGTGATTTTGCGTCATTTTTCTCATCCCCTATTTTAAGGAATTAGCTTATGTAAATTTTATTATTCTGTACAATCTTAGAATGCTAACTCCGAATTTACTTAGTTATTAATTCTAAGAATTGGCTTATGCCTATTTTATTATTCCGTTCAACTCTAAGAATTCTAACTCCTGTTTTATCCAATTATTATTTCTGAAAAATTGACATACAACTTTAATCGAATGTAATTCCGAGAAATGTTGGGTTCTAAAATGCGGCTTTTATCAGATATAATAACATTTATGGTGAAATCGTGACTATGTACAATTCTTAGAAATCGGCGGATGTTATTGCACAGTATGTCTTAGCCTCTGGTTTCTTTATTTCTTCGCATACTGCCAGTATAAAAACAATTTTACACTACAATTATAAAAATATTTCCTAACATATTATCATTATAAAAACATTTTTATATTACTATTATAAAAACATTTCCTGACATATAAATATCAAAAACATTTCTTTTGGTAGTATATCTACAAAATCATTTCCTTTCATAGAATAAAAGGTAATTTAAATATTTATGCCATTATATACAAATGAACAATAATAAAGTAATTTTTCAATAATTATTCAATAATATGATTCCTTTTATAGACAAATAATAATAATGATTATTTAATATAAAATAACATATTTCCTTAGTAATTGTTCAATATAAAATTATGAAATAATATAGTTTCCTTTATATTTTATTCTAATCATAATAATTAATTTTATATTATTAAATTTAATTATTATTATTCATTAACTCGTATGACTACCAATGTGTATTAAAGTTCCAAAAGACAATGTTACCAATATTAATGATATAAAATAGATTTATTGATGGTAATATCGCGTGGCTACCAATAACAAATATATCGATAATAAATATTCATCAGTTAAGAGATTACCGACTAAGTAGGTACTGACTAAGTAATATTGAAAATAGTGAAGTAATCGACATTTTATTCTTGATTCAAATTGTCATTACCCTGGATATAAGTTCATCCACATCGTCCGGCGCCGACATGACAAAGAACTATATCGTGATATATAACAAAGTTCTCGTTGTTCGTTTTAATCAATAAATAAATAAAAAATGCGGTTTTGTAGATTTTTCAAAGCAAATCTCAATGGATAGGCTTTATTTAACGGTCCTTCGTCGATACAATACTTTTAATGTTAAATACGTTTAATGTTAAAAATTTATTAATTTGCGAAAACAAATGTTCTAAAAAATTCATCGACAAAAACGACATTTTAGTACAAAATTTATTTACGAATAATTTATAAAGAGTAACTAGACGTCCAGAAGAGTATAAAAGGTCGATTGATTATATTTCTCGACGGGAAAAGTTTGAGCGATTCGATCGCAAGATTTTTCTCAAAATACGCCGTGTATTTCCTTCAGCGTCGCCGACCATTAGGCTACTTAATCAGTACATATAGGGGAGCATCCCGGTCAGCAAGCATGATTCGGCCAAAATCCATGGGTGGTTCAAAAAGTTCGATACGATCAAAATGCACGATTCGTCCAATATTAACTACTTGAACAAGGCGATTCGAAAAGGGCGATTAAAAGGCAACGCACGTTTCGTCCAGAACGATGAAACGTAGTCTCTTTTAACCCTTTGAGTGCTGAAATACTCGTGGCCTATGCAGTCCGTACGGACGGTGAGCGGCTGGCGCTGATGATCTCCGGGGACTGAATATTTTTTCGCGCAGTATGGAACTCGTTGACGGTGTATGACACATTATAATATAGTATACAATCCCATTACTATTCCGTTGTCTATTCCACATTGAATGAAAACATTTTTATTTTCAATATATACTGTTTACTCACCTGCTAGAATTTGAAATCCCAGCAATTTGATAATTATAACGAATTTTGATATTCAAAATCAGAAAATTAAACAAATCATAAGAAGGATTATATAATCCTGGAAAGGCTTCAAATATATATAATTTAAGGAATTAATAATTTAATACATTGATATTTTAAGAAAAAACAATAGGAAAATTAATAATTCATTTGCGTATGATAAATCTTAAAACAAGTATCAACACATAAACCGACGTCACATTTTTTACATTCATATGGTGTATCCTTCTTTCTATAGACAACACATTTCCTTCTTGTCGATTTTCTCTCTGCATTAAAAATTTTTGAAGGGAAATGTCTCTCAGTCAAACGAAATGGTAGGTTTTCTACGCTTCTTTTGCCACCGTCCGCTCGTGTTCTATTTTGAAGGTATTAGAATTTGTTTGATTAGTGACAGATGAAAATCGTTATATTGTAGTTTCTACCAGTCACAGATTGATACAGGATATACGAGTTATATACTGAGATGTCTACTAAATGGAAAAAATACTTCTTATACCACTTTAAACATTTTCTGCATGAATTAAATGTACTTAGAACCATGTCAACGTGGTCTACAGAGCCCACTTTGATGTTGTAATCTGCAACACATTCTGGTTTTAACTTGGGCAATCCTGTAAGATAATTTCTTTGACCAGATTCTATCATTTTCGGTTTGTGAGCACTTGATAACATCCATACATCTTTTCTATCGTGCCACTTCAATACCAATAAATTATCTGTACATCTGTAGTCAAATTGCCCTTTTGTCAATTTTCCCTCGATATGGTGCAATTCTCTTCTATGTTTCCGTATTGTCCCAAACGCATTAGTTTTATGTTTATTAAGTACATTATACAAATGCGGACTTGTGTACGAATTATCTGTTATCAATGTATGGCCCTTTTCAAGGTATGGATGTAAAAGTGTCATAACAACATCTGCCGATTGCCCAATGGTTGTAGAATTACGTACAATATCTGTATTTTTCTGGTATATACTATATAATCTAATACATAGTTTGTTGTGCAGTCGCACATGATAAATGATTTGGTACTAAATCTACTTCTTTTGGACGGAATAAATTGTTTAAAGTAACACCGGTCTTTGTATGACATAAGACTTTCGTTAATGCACAAATCTTTGTACGGATAAAATGACTGTGAGAAAGAGTTCTTCAGAATATCAATTATAGGTCGTATTTTTATCAATGGATCATCACTTTATACATTATTATCATTAAAATGCAACATTTGCAATAATATCATGTATCTGTCTCGCGTCATAGTTCTTCGAAAAATATTAATTTTTAACATGTTATTGCTCGACCAATACTTTTTTAGAATCAATTTCTTCACTCGCGGCATTAACATCGTGATAACCAAAAATCCGTACATCTCACGTATTGATGTGAGTATTAATCCAACAAGTATTAATACGAGGATACGTTTTAAATGTAGTATTTTCAATAACAAATTTATAATAATTGTTCGTATCCTCAGTAATATGTGAAACTAACCCTTCTGAAAAGAAAAGTTGAAAAGCATCTGAGGGCGTAGCTTCTGGAGTTAAATTTTCTTTTACTCCAGAATTTTTATCGTTAAATGCATGTAGTGTGGGCTTGAAATCGTTTTTCGATCATGACAACGTTGGAAGAACTTCATTTAAGTCGGATCTTTGTAAATTCGAATTTGAATTTAAATCATCCTCATCGGAAGATGTGCTAAGTATTCTTTATCGTTTATTTTTCCTTCTACATACAACTATCCTATTATTTATGCTATTTTCTGTATCTTCCGAATCTGATGACAATAGAACATATTCGTGTGGTACCTGTATTTCGTCATTATAATTGTCACTTAAATCTGTCGTTTCATCCAAGATGTCATTGCTGTTGTTTCTTGTAATAATTTCTTTAAAACTGGCACACATTTTTAAAGTATGAAACAGGGGTAAATAACAATATGAAAATTACGTGTATTATAAGTTTAATACGACAATATGCCAATGCACCAGTTACAACTGTACGGCGTAACAAATGAAATGAGTTATCAGAAACTAATTGATGTGGCGTCTAAAACTAAATTTTGTTTTTCATCATTGCTAAGTGACGAGGTATGTGGTTTCTGCGAGTGAAACGATATAAGTAATGGTATTTCACGGGCGATGTTGCCATCTCCCACTTATGCTACACCTCTCATGTCTCCTTACAGAGCCAGACGAGAGTCAAGCTCAACAGCGTCTTCTTTCCCCGCTAATTTTTCCAAAACCGTTCCCTTGGCAGTGGTTTCGCTAGAAATTAGATAGGGACAGTATATTGTGAAGGTGGACACCCGTAGGATGCCTGTACCTATACTACCTCGCCCATTAGGGCATACACTACAAAACTACCTACTTACAGTAGCCACCACAACCAAGTAACCGGATTCGGAAAAACCCAAAACTCCTGCCGGCGAGACAGGGTGAGCGGTTTAGCCACGACCAACATCCTCACAGCAACCAGTCACCACGCTGATGCCGGCCGTGCCCACGGGGAACCACGGGGAGGCCCGCTCATAGTGCCACGTTCCTTGACACTCGTTCTGTAGGATAGGATAGGATTGGTAGGATACCAGGTTTTAGGTAATGTTGGGTAATAGTGTAAAAAAGAAAAAAGGGAGATGCATGCGAACATCTCCGACCCTATCCTGTTCGAAAGTGAGTTAACCTGAGAAGATTACAGGCACTCACTCCCATCATCAGAACTGCAACAATCCCAGCTGAACAGGATTAATTAACTAATTACCCTTAATGAAAAGGGTTTCTTTACAAAATTCCGCGAAGAGGGAAAATGCCTCGGCCGTGGTGGCACGATATTTCACTGCTTCTGGCCAACTCCTTCCGTGGAGAATTTCTTCCAGAGCGACTCTCTGAGTTTCGAAAAACGGACATTCGATGCGAAAACGTGTCCTCTTCGCCACACTCGAATGTTACATCCATGATGAGGTTCAGCAATATCAGCTTGGCCTTGAAAACTCCGTGTCCTGTAAGAAGTTGAGATGTGAAGTGGTTAGTTAGGAGAGATGAAATAGTATCCCATCCTGTTCTTGTTTTCCGGGAAAAACGCGTATGTTGTTCTTCCTTTGAAGGAATTCTCCCATCTAGACTGCCA